GAATGGATTGCCGGTCAACGTTGATAGCGTCACTCCAAGTTCTGACAGGTGCTTCACACCCCATGCCTGCCTCTGCTCCCTCCCAGTGTTCATTAAGGACTGATGGTGTTAAACTTTGATCTAAAGAAGGGGCAGGTATTGCACTCTTGAGAGCATGAATCCCGAACTCAGAAAGTGACTCGGTGTCCATTGCAAACAGACACTTAGAACAAGAGTGTTCTTCCAGGTCTAAACTTGGAGCAGTACAAAGCAATGCTAAATCTCTATCAACAGCTTTGGGCTTCCTGATGGATTCATTTTCCCAACTAAGAAAAGAGTAGGAAGCTGAAACTTCTTGGTGTATTGATTGCACTAAGGGTGGTAGCCAGTCTCCACCACCGATGCCTGACACAGAGCTAACATCAACTGAGCAGAATCTCTCAACCACCTTGCAGCCATGCTCATTGGATGAGCATAATCCTGATTTCTTTAATGCACCGCGGTAGAATTGTTGAAGATTCAATGTGAAAACTCTGAGCAGCTGAAAATTCTTTCCTACTGGGACTGAAATTGATCTAGAGCCCTCAATTCTAGATTCCGAAATAACCACAAAGTTCTCATTATCAAAATGTTCCACAGCAACTCTAATATCTCTCTTACCAATGTGCTTTGTGAAAACCCAACTAGGCTCAAAACAGATTCTAAAGAGACATTCCAGTATCCAGCTCAAGAGGTCAGAATCGAACCAGATTACCTTGTTATTCTTACCCTCAATAGATAAACAAAAGGTGTGATTGTGAAATGAATGGAAAAAACAAAATTCCACATTACCCAAAATGAATGATGCTTGCAAGTTCTTTGTCAGGTGATTAGTAGGTCGGAACAGAAGCAAACCTTCCCTGTGTAACACCTCTCGAGGGGCTGACCTGTCCAAAATTCGATCATTTGCAATGGAGGATGAATTAGGTTTCTGGGAGGGGTTCCACCAATTTCTACGTTGGATGAGGGAGCCTCTTCGATCACCATGACGATATCTATCCCAGAAGTTGTCGCTGCAAGTTGTGGTACCTGGATCGAAGAAATAGTTCCTGTCACCACCTCTATGGAATTGATAGGATTCGCTGGAGGTTCTTCGATCATCATCATAGGACCTTCGATTCTTTGAATTAGAGTTCCCATTTCTGTGTGAGAATGGTGCTTGGTGAAAAAAATGAGAATAAAGGAGAGTTCCCATTTCTGTGTTTAATGCTTGGTGAAAGAAATGAGAATAAAGGAGAGTCATTCGATCAGATGCATCGAACGGAGATCATTAAACACAGATGAAATCACTAATACTCAATTTAAAAGGAAAGAATTAATTATAACGCACCAATTTAGGAGAAAGTTAACTATGAAGGGCATTAATGTAATACTATGTATCTTAATGCATATCCAAACGTGATACGGTATGGTGTATTTAGGAGAATTTTATTATATTAAAATATAAAATTCATTTATTTAATTATTGTACATAACATTTTGCATACAAGTCCATTCTTGACAAATAATATGCCGTTGGAAATCTCTCGTCGAGATCTACCCAATGATACCAATGTTGAATATAAAATTTTTATATTTTTTCTTCTCACATTTCAAAGCTAAGTAAGAAAAGTATATTTATGTACACTTTTTTCTTATATAATTTTTAGACTGTTTTTTGGGATGTTACACACTCTCTTAATGCTACTCCTTTCGTCTCAAATGCATCTAATTTAGGAAATGATTTTAAATATCCCCTTTTTCAGATTTATCTTGACAAGATGCACTCTGATGTGATGTTCATGCACTGTGATGACCAATATATGCATTGTGATTTGTTCTCCATATTTTATTCAAATTTCATTCTATTAATTTATGGATTAGCCAAGAATGACTCTTGCATGACTTTGTGTTCGATGACAAAGTCAGAGAATGCATTATATTCCAAATAATTGTAATATAGGTTTTGAGAAATAGTTTGCCTATGCAGGATTCGAATTCACATCTGTAGTACATACTGCTCTACCATTTGAGCTAATAGACAATGATTTGTTTTTTCAAAGAGACTCCCATCACTTGGACCTATTATATACATATTTTATTCTATTAAAATTTGCATCATTCAGCGTGTATCCAACCGATATTCGAATGTATCACAGAATATGTTAAATGCATCATCGTTTGCATAAAATTTTCTATTTAGAATATACAAACGCATCATCTTTGGCTAGAATGATTTCATCGAAATAGATGCATTTTACTTTGATTCTAAGATTGCGCAGTAACAGGGAATACATTATCCTTTGATTTTGAAAATGCATTGTCTTCTCATCTAAATGCATTTCCTTAACGCCACTGTTCATTGTGCATTCTCAGATAGTAAAGTACTCCTTCCGTTCATGAAAACATAGGAGATTTTGATTTTTAAAAAATTTAAGGGGAGTGTATTTTGGTGTTGAGTTTTAAAAAATGTCTTTGGATGTGATCGGTAAAAGTAGAATTTTATAGGTAGATTAATAATGAATAAATGTGATGTGATATGTAGGTTAAGAATTAGTGGTGGAAAAAGAGACTTTTTAGTAATAAAAATGAGAAAAGTTTTCGGACGGATGGAAAAAGAAATGAGAAATGTTTTCAGGGGTGGAGGGCGTAGTTAAAATTAACAAAAATGTGTACATCCTGGAACACCATAATGCATCGTGGGAACAGAATAATGCATCTTGGGAAGGAAAAAATGCAACATGGTTACACAAAACGAAAACAAACTCAAAAAAAGAATTCTCGATAATAGAATTGAGTTCTCGATTCAAAGCTGCGATCAACTATAATTCATCACTTAAAATTATACAAGTGAATTAATTGATTATCATACATGACACATATGATATTCAATGATATTAATCAAAATTGTGATAAATCCCTACCATCAAAGAAGATAAAGTAGAACAAGAATAGACTAAAAATTGATGTCATATTTGATCTGTAGAAAATGGAACAGAAGACGTGAATGGCTAAAATCGTGGGCTAATTATCAGGGAAGAATTTAAATAGATATGAGTGAGAAAACTTGTTATGAAAATCCCAAAATGGGCATGACGATATCCCTACTAAATAGGTAAAATCCAGAAGATTGGGCGGCCAAGATGGGTTCTCATTTCTCTCATAAGATCCTATTCTCACCTGATCCTAATTCTATATATATATATATATATATATATATATATATATATATATATATATATATATATATATATATATATATATATATATATATTTCAATAAAAGTTTCATTCAATCCCGTGCGTGGCACGGGTTAGAATACTAGTAAGCTATAAAAAAGACAAAGAGAACATTCTAAAATTCAAAATAGGCTCCAATTTCCACACCAAGGAGCGTGTAATCTGCAGGAGCTGAGTGAATGGCCAGGTAGTAGCTCCAAACTATCAAAAACAAAGGCAAAAATCCTGTTAGAAATCCAGTACAAAACATCTAGAGTTGGTCTGAATCATAGTCCAGTTGCAATAATATGAATCACCCCTAGTCATTGAGAAAAACAAACACATTCCTCGTGTTCGCAAAATGAACTCCTCTATTAGACCATCATCATTTAGCATCTACAATCATCTCGTTGCATGAGTACGCCCAAATCTTCTAGCCAAATCTCTCCAACAGCAATGGAGGAAAGCCAAGGTGATAAGAAAAAACAGTTGGCCAAGCAACTTGACTAAATCAATATTCTAGTTCCCATATACATCCAACCGAATTGCTCGCTGCTGTAATTTTGTTCCTGCCACTGGTCATACTTTGCTCCAAGAATAAACAGATCAGAGAGAGTGAAAAGTCTCCTCACTAAACAATTTGAGAACATGAGATAGGAAGACCACGGTAATTTGAGAAACCAGATGAACTAAACCCATCAAAACAACAGAAACTGGCCAGCAATGTTGATTATATATAAAAATCCTCATCATCATATCCCAAAACAGATACCTGATTGCGTTTCTTTTTCTTTTTTAACTTCTTTTTCTGGCTTTTGCTCATTGGCCTTGTAGGAGGTTTTGGGGCTTCTTTTTTGTTTGGACAACAAAGCTTGAAGAAATTAATTATCTCTTCTTCATGAGATTCTTGAGGATCAATCAGTTCTTGTTCCTCTTCCCATCCTATAGGTGTGACCCTCCGGCCTTGGGCTAGAAGTGTAGCTCTACTTCTTGTAACAATTTGTGAAGGGGAGAAAGTTTTCCTTCCCTTTTGTTCTTTGCGCAGATATAAGGGATTCGTCGGGCATCTTGAGAAATCTATTTGAAGTGGTTTAAGCGTTGTGTCTATGAAAACTAAATCCTCTCCCTCTGAATGTGTGTATAGAATGGGCCCTTCCCTTTCCGTAGTGTGATCCTCCACTGCATTAAAGCTTAGAACAAGGCCATGATCATTCATTTTTGAGAAAGGATCCTCTTCATCCAAGCATGCAACATTAGACTCCTTGTCTGAATCTTGGTTGTGGAGAGTAGCAAATGTATTATTTGACAGTGGTATAAATGGAGGTGCACAAGGAGATAAGATCTTTCTTGAAAACGGTGGAAAAAAATCTCTGTTAGATTTGGAAAAGTGGTATTTAAGTTTTGCTTCCCCCTTGTAAATAACAATCTGTCCTTCTGTGGAACTGCATTCTATTAAAGGAAAATGAGAATCTAATTCTGGTTTTCCATTGCCTTCCCTTGTAGAGGATGAGTGGTTATTCCCGTCTGGTGCTTCCACCTCCTTTGAGAGTTGTGTATGCAGGATTGGTGGCCCCTTGGTGTGCCTAGATTGGGTATCGGGCTCTAATTCTTTTGGTTCTGTTGGAACAAACAGAAACTGCCCATTATCCTCCACCGGTGGCTGTTTAGGGCAAAACGAAGTTGCTCTTTGAATAAAATTAGAGAGTGCCCTGATGAAAATACTCGGCCCATCCTCGTTTGAATCAAAAGGGATGACTAAAAACCTCTTACCCTCTCTCCTTCTCTCTGTAATTTTGATGTAGTAACCTGTGTAGTTTGAACCTAAACAAAGATCTAATCTTCTATTCACCTCGGTTAGAGAAGTCTCCCTGCCTCTCAGTTTGGAAATGAGGGACAACGAATCCAATAACCATTTGATGGTGTCCAAATCAAACCATAAATGATATCTTCTACTTTCGTAATTAGAGACACAGAAATTTTGATTGTAAAATGAGTGAAAAAACTCAAATACCTTAGATTGTGTCTTGAATTTGAATCTAAGGTTTTTTCTAAATTTGATTTCGGAGGGTGGAGCTTCAAAATTGTTGAGAACCAATCTAGAACCACTGAGAACATAAGCATCTTTCTTATCCCTTAAAGTTGGGTCGCAGAAAGGCCATCTTCGACTTCCGTTTTCCCTTTTGCTACGAAGGTTTCGCCGATCGCCGATGGATGGATGGGAGCGTTGGGAATTGACAAATCTGAAATTATTGAGTGTAAATTGGCCAGGGAGATCTGATTGATGGGAAAAGAAATGGTCGCTCCACCTTCTCTCTAGAAATGCCGCCATCATATATATATATATATATATATATATATATATATATACACCCACACACACACACACACACCTTGGTTCCCATGACATTGGGAACCAATGTCATGAGATGACCCGGGGGCGCTTCGGTGCTCCGTTCGTAAAATTGACGGTTCCTAACCCCCCTAACCCCCCCGGTAAACCCCCCACTCCGCCCCGACCCGAACGCACCCCCCCCCCACCCTTTCAATTGCACCCCACAAGTTGATTTTGACTTTGGAGTCAAAATTTGACTCTAAAGTCAAAATCAGGTGAAATTGAAGGGGGTGGGGGGGTCCGTTCGGGTCGGGGCGGGGGTGGTTTACCGGGGGGTTAGAAGGGGTAGGAACTGTTAATTTTACGAACGGAGCACCAGAGTGCCCCCGAGTCATCCCATGACATTAGTTCCCAATGTCATGGGAACCTTGCCCATATATATATATATATATATATATATATATATATATATATATATATATATATATATATACACACACACACACATATATATATATATATATTTATATTTATATTTATATACTCCCTCCGTCCAAGTTGAAACTTCTCGTTTTGACTTGGCGCGAGTTTTAATGTAAAGTGAAAAATGCTTTGCCTTTCCAATTTTATCCCTTCTTTCTTATTTGTCTCAGATCCTCTTCTTCATCTCGCGTACTGTCTTCTTCTTCAACATAAAAAACCAAAATATCTTCTCTTCAATAAAAATCAAATCTCTTTAGAAAAGTAAAAATCCAAAAAATGAGAAGACGTAAAAGAAATAAAAAAAATGTTCCACCCAAAAAATTCAAAGCTCCATCTCAACAACAAATTACAACATTTTCGACATTATTTA